TGAAAGTAATTATTAATGCATTAGGGCTTAAGTCCTTTGGTTCTTAGTCCTCTGTGTCCCTTTCTTGCTTTCCTGTGGATTATCTGGATTATTTTTAGTCCAGTTTGATTTATTTATATTGTCTTGAGTCTATTTCCTTTCATAATTTTCTTAGTGGTTCTTCTAAGTGCACTAAATACGTAACACACCACGATCTAGTAGCACTAGACTTGCCTTTCATGCACTGCCTTTCCCCTCTCCAAGTCTTCAGTGTAATTTTCAGGTATTTCTATACATTATCACATGAGATGGTTTTATAATTTTTGCTTCAATCATCCGAGTTTTAAAACCATAAAAAGAATGACATTTACCCATTCCTTTTTTTCTTTATTCTGAAGTTCTTTTCCTCTTTCTATTATCATTTCCTTCCGCTATCATTTTGTCTCTTTAACTGGTCTTCAAAAGCAGTCTGATGCTAGCAAATTCCTTTCCTCTGTCTGTGAATGTCTTTATCCTTTAATAATGAAAGGTGTTTTCACCAAATATATAGAATCTAAGGTTCATAGTTTTTTCAGCCCTTGAATCCTGCTGTGCTGTTTCCTCCTGGTCTCCATGGTAAATTCAGTCATTTAAATCATTATTACTCTGCAGGTCATCACTTCTCTCTATTTGCTTTCAGTTTAGTTTTTTGAAGCGGTGGGGGAGTGGGGACAGGGGGAGGTTCCTTTCCTTTTTTAGTTTCCAGAAATTTGGGTATCTTGGTGTGGATTTCTTTGGCTTCATTCTATTGGGATTCATTTAGCTTCTTGAGACTGTAAATTTCTGACTCTCCCCACATATGGGGACTTTGCAGCCGTTATCTCTTTGAGTACTTTTTCAGCTTCACACCTTTCTCCTGTCCCGGAGCGCTAGTTCTTTTGTCGTGGTCCTTCAGGTCTGGGGCTCTGTTCATTTTTCCCACAGTCCATCTTCTCTGTGCTATTTAGAACGAATAACTTTTGTCCGTCTATTCATTCATTCTGTTCTGTCATCTCTAACATACTGTTGAGCTCTTCCAGTCATCTTTTTAAAATTTCAGTCCCTTTATGTTTCAGTTCTGTGACTTCCATTCAGATGTTTAAGCTCTTCTATCTCTTTGTCTAAATTTTCTGTTTTTCAAAATGTCGTTTCAGGAGTATTTGTGATTGCTTGTGCAAACTTCTTTGTGATGTCCTTTTCTGGACCTTCTTAGTGAATACACACTTGTCTTACAGCCTGATCTGTTCATTACTGTTTCTCATTCTAGTTGTTATTTTATTGGTTCTTGGTACATGAGCAGTCGTCACATCGTGGGCATTTGGGGTGTTGGGTTACAGTGCGACATCTTATGTAAAGCAGTCTCCCAGTCTAGATGCAAGATGCAGATTCCGGCCTATTTTTGCAGGTTGTGTTGCTAATACCCACTTAGTATTCAGAGTCCTGGCAGTGCTGTCATGACCAGGCTGTTTGCGTGCTTCTTGGAGGTCCCTCTGATTATCTGGTGGTTTCCTGTGTGGAGGATGTGTGTGAACGTGTGAAATTCTATGATGGCTCAGGGCACACCTTGTGACACATTGAATCTTGTCGGTCTTACGTTTGAGTTGACCAATAATCTGCTCCAAGCTTTCTATACAAGTTTAAAGAATCTTTGCCCAGGTCCTTCCTCCCTGTCCAGCTGGGGATGTGGATGGACGTGCAGACTCGCTCCTCCGTGTCTGCTGCCTTCGGCTGGAGAGCAAGGCCAGTGCAGCCACGGTTGGCCTGTGGCTGACAGATGGGAATGGGGCTCCCATTCCGCAACCGGCCTCTGCTGCTGGGCAGGGGACGTGACTTTAGCTCTGGACCTCAGCGAGGCTGAGCCGGTGGGAGGGTGGCACTCTGCTGATGTAAAGCGGGCATTGCCAGAGAGGATTTCTTGCTGCAGCTTTCGCATTCCCTGTCCTTCTGCTAGAGGAAGGTGCTCTTCTTGGAGCTTGGTTATCGCCGTGTGACGGTGGTTCTGAGTTGCATCCTTCCAGCCCCAGTCCAGAAATCTGTGTCATCCACACTGCGCATGTGCAGGGGCGGTTGGGTAGGTTGCAAAGACTGAAGAAAACACCCAGACTGGCCAGTGGGAGATGGGGTCCGTTAAAGTTTCAGCAGGAAAGGATAGAGTTAAGTGAGACTTACTGGCAAAAAAATACAGAGCCCAGGTGATGTAGGAGGTGGGGTGCAGCCACGGGGAAGTGGGCAGGACGTGTCAGTTTCAAGGTCCCAGGGCAGAGCCAGGTGACTCTCAGGACCGCCTCTGTGGGGCTTCTCCCGGGCTCCCACGAGATGAGGGTGGCATAAAAGCCTCAAGGGGAGGCCAGGAGGTGACGCTTCACGGTAGCCCAGCCTGGGTGTCTCAGACCCAGGGAATTAGTTTTATTTTTGCTCTTTTTCTCTTTTGTTTGGCCTAAGTTCACCTTGCAGAGCCAGTTTTTCCTTTCCCCTTCACCTCCTCCCTTTGAAGTAAATGTCTGCACCGTTTTTGGCTTGTATTGTCCTTTTTTTTTTTGAGGCAAGAAGGACTTGGAATACTTTCAGATGGCGAGCCATTTTTAAAGGAACTACCAGACAACACAGAGGTGGCAGCCTGGACAGCAAAGGTGCTGGAAGGCACACTGCATGGCCAGTGTGAGGGGATGGGAGCAGCAACCCAGACAGGACTCAGGGTCCAGGGGCGGCCAGCTGGACTGTAGCTGTCCACTGCTCGGTCTCACATGCTAGCAGATGAGCCTTATAAAGCAAATGGCAGAGCAGTGCCGTCCCTGGCTCTCCAATCCATAGTGCGAGAAAGACCTGACTTAGCATAGTGCCGGGAAGGCAGTTTCTAAAATAGCACTGGTTTGCCCAGTCCTCGGTGTCCCACAGATAATGCTTACCTGGATATTCTGGTTCCTTTCTGCTTACAGTGGCCCCTTGGCTTGGCAAGCATCTTGGAACACATCCGGGACTTAGGGATAAATGTGCTAGTTTTCCTTGGGGACGATACAATGACTAAGATCAAGGAAAACACCCAGGGAGCTCACACCACGTTGGTCCTCACCTCCTAGCTCCTCATCTAGTCTGCCTTCCTTGTCCTGCCCTTGGCTGCTGGATTATTCCCAGAGCCTTCAGTTGTATTAGCAAAACAGAGCTGAGGGACATGGGCCTACACAACCTTGCCCACTACCAGAATCTGGTTCTTTTTTGTGCTAGATATGTGTCCGCTTTTGCTTTGAAGCTAGACAACTCCTAGATCCGCGCCCCCACCCTAGACATTGAAGTAAACCAAAGCCTCTTTTATTTTCATATGCAAAAAATGTTTGGTAACCTGTTTACTTAAATGTGGTGAAGAATCGGGTTCATGGGGAAGAGTTTGCCTCCGTTGAAAGAAAGTATATTGCTACTTCCCAGCAAGGGAAACACTTCTGCATTTTTTGCAGTCACCGAAAAGAAGTTTTCTTTGTCTTATTTCATAACAAATATTAACCACCAGAAAGTCCAGAGACAGCAAGGAAGACAAGAAATCTCCAGAGAGAACTCAGTGTCCTGTGGTGGCTGACTACAGCACCCCTCAGTTTGTTGTATTTTTTTGTTTTTGTTTTTGCTTTTTTGCGGGGGGTTGAGGGGGTTGGTACTGGGGATCGAACTCAGAACCTTTCACTTTGGAGGGAGGTGGCAGCACCACTGAGCCAAGTCCCCAGCCCTACCCCTCAGTTTGAAATGAGATGTTAGGGCTCTCCCAAACTCACGTTCCTCTGTGGGTACCTCACCTTGAGTCACTGTCCCTTAGCTACAACAAATGACTGGCAACGACCTTCAAGTGTTTGCTGTTAGCCAGACAGGCCGTCACAGATCCACCATCTGGTATCCCACCCTCGCAGAGGGGCAGGCCCAAGACCAAGCCTTCCTCACAGAGGGATGAAAGCGGGGAGGACAGGAGATAGAGATGAGACACGTCGAACCTCATGGTTTGAGTCTGTCCGCTGTTTTTTCCATCGCCACCTCAAACATAGACACGGTGCATTTTCCAGCTGTCACTCGTGCCAAGAGCTCTCAGCTTTGGACATCCTGTGTACAAAAGCTGGTTCACACATAGACATCACTTACTCCTCCTTGTCTTTACAAGGATCCAAGCCCCCTGCCCCTGTCCATTCAGCAGTGGGAGCTAAGTGTGCTGATAAAGCACAGGCCCAGTGCATTTTACATCAGCGCTCTCTCCCCCTCTCCCTCTCTCTCTCTCTCTCTCTCTCTCTCTCTCTGTCTCATCTACTGGCTCTCACAGCACATCTCAGGAGCAAGCTGCAAAGGTCACCTGCAGTTTTTCACACTTTTCTGGATGCTTCTTGTGCCACCCCTACCTCTTGCTTCTATTTCAGGTTTCTCTCCCGGGCTCCGCCTGTCTTGCAAGGGAACAAGTGATGAGTAGAGCGCTGCAGAGAGTCCCGTCCCTCTCCACCCAGCCGTCCGGCTTCCCTGAAACACACTGCATGGAGGCGGGACTTCACGGGTCTCCCCTGGTGTGCTAAATACTCCCGATTCAGGTGCAGGGTCAGGAAGGGCAAACATTGCATTGGGGCTGCACTAATGCTAACTGGAGTGAACTCCAGTCGACAGAGGGTTGTTCAACTCCAAGCACCCGTGAGACTAAGTTTTCCAGAAAACCGCCTTCAGGGCGCCTGACAGGGCAGAGAATGGAGCCACCAACTGTCAGCCTCCTGTGGAGCAAGACACGGTATTTCGGGTCCCGCTGGACATCACTCAGGCCAAAGAAGCTTTCCAAGGGCCTTGAGGTTTGAGGAGAAGGGAGAAGGTGGAGGAAATATTGATTCTAACGTGAAAGGAAAGTCAACATTGTTGTATTATGTATCTATAAAATGGGTAGGGGTTGGGGATTAACCCAGGCCCATGCACATGCTAAGCAGGGCTCTACCTCGGCCCCTATAAGATGTATTTTAAGTCAAACAAGCAACTGTAATTTGGCTTATATATAGTGATACAAAGTACTACAAAGTTGCATTTGATGTGGAAGGGGGCGCATGTTAACGAGTTCATCATGACAAGGTGGGTAGGGCTTTCAGCGTTTCCGAGCAGGCCCAACTGAACCAGGAAAGCAGGGGATGAAAACAGAAAGGCAGGGAGGGAAAAGGTCAGCCACAATACACTTGTGCACCGTTTCCAGTCAGAGTTCAGAAGGGAGATAGGCTCACGTCTGCACACGCGGAACTGTTGCTGGATGAGCTGATTTTCAGGCATGGGCTCCACGCCCGGGATCTTGCTGGGCCCTGCCAGCTGCAGGGTTGGTTCGTCCACTCCTGGCCACACCACACTGTCCTCAGCCGGCAACCTCCTTGTGCCCCGAGGATGAGGTCTTCCCATACCCCCTTATATGCGTCAGATGCAAATGCCCACTGCGGAGGAGGGAGAAGACCCCACAGGCCAGAGCACAGGAGGGTTTGCCCGTTTGACAACCACATTGATGGCCCGTCCTCGCCCAGTAGGTTAAAGGGTAAGAGCTGTCACAATTCAGCACCACGTCATGTCTGGCTTTAGCGGGCTCCTATCCCCTGTCCCTCCCGCACAAGCCAGGACTCCTTCTCGGGACAGATTGCACAGGCCTCTCCCAGTACTGCCATGACACAGCCCTGAAACTTACCTACCCCTTCCCTTACAGCTCCCCAGCCATGTTTGGATCATCCGTGATGTCCCCAGAAGGATCGTGGTTTGAAGGCGAGGTCCCCGGTCTCTGGTGGAAGCTTTAAGAGGTGGCACCTAGGAGAGAGAATTCAGGTCACTGAGCTGTGCCCTTGAATGTTGGACAGCAGCCCTGTCCCTCTCTTTGCTTCCTGGTCACCATGCTCACTGCCACATTATACTTCTTTGCGTCAGACTCAAAACAAAATAGCCAGGAGACCATGGACTGGAACCTCTGAAACCATGAACCTTTCCTCCAGAGACGGGTTGTCTCAGAATTTTGTCACAGTGGCGGAAAGCTGACTAACTCGGGATCTGTGAGCCTCGGATCCCCGAACTCATTCGTGATGTGCTCAGGAGGCCCAGAGGACCCAGGGAATCTTGGAAATGCTGCCGGGGTTTGCTGTGTCTAATTCATTCTCCTGCCAGCAAGCAGCAGGGGAGAAGGCCGTTCTGGGAGGTGGAGCCAAAGCAAACCCATTAGGTCCACAGAAACACACCAGGTGCAGCCTCCCTCTGTGCGCAGGGTCACACAGTGCTGCCCTGCTGAATCTGTTTGTCTGATTCTGACCACGTGAACCTTGGCCAAGCCCTTGCGAGGATGTGAGCCCTCAGCATGGTAAGGAATCAGAGGAGATGTCTGCCCCGCCAAGCATGACAGATGAGCTTTAACTGCAGACTGGCTCCTTCCCTGTAGAATCTGGAGGAAGCTGCCACTGCCAACGCAAGGGAAAGATTTGCCTAAAATATTGGCTGCTGTCGTGGATCCTGGGACCTCTTGGGCCAGGTGCCTTCTGCACTGTGATGAGGTAAGGCTGTTCTGGAAGAAAGACGTCCCCAGGACATAAATCTGTTTGACACCAGACATCCACCTCCCATTGTGAACCAGGCCCCGTGGTGTAGGAGCCAGAGATACGGACGTGAAGAAAGGGGAGCTGATCTTTTCTTCAAGGAGAGGAAGGAGTAGAAACTCCACCTGGTGTGCTGACAGACCCCTCACTGCAGCTTGTTATAAGATCAAGCCTCCACAGGCAGTTCTCACCTAACTATACCTCTGAGCACTAATGAAAACCCACTCCTGTCTCATGCGGTAATGCAGCTGGTTCACTCCCTTCTCTCTCCCACAGTGGGTGAAGTGTGTTTCTCTACTGTACAGATGTTGCTCTGGCCGGTGGAATGTGAACAAAGCCCTTAGGGGTGTGTGTGTGTGTGCGTGTGTGTGTGCAATGTAGCCGGGAGCTCACCAGCAGAAACAAGTTCTGGGAGCTGCTGGCCTGAGGGGGACAAGAGACGGTGGCACCCCGGAGCTCACCCTGCAGCCTGGAGCTGGCCCAGCCCTGGCCTTGTGGAACTGTGTGTTCAGACTAGAAGTCCAGACAGGACCCCAGAAAAAAACAGGGGTAGCAATCTTATTGGCAGACAAAGTAAATTTCAAACCAAAACTGATTCTAGTATTATTGATGTAGGACGGTACTATATCATACCTCTATGAATGTAAAATATCTAGTACCTGCTTTATGATACATAGTAGGGACCATGCTTTATCAGAGCTACATTTAATGATATTACTCTAGAATGTTCTCTTTCCAGATGATGATTAAGAGGCTAATAAAAAAAAATGGTGCCAGGTACCACAACAGCAACAGAACTTTGCTGTTTTCTGGATATTATTCTTTTCTTTGTTTCTTTTTGTTTTGTTTTGTTTTGTTTTAATGGAATGTGCTGAATGTCTATAATGTTGTTCAGATGACTGCAGAATCTGGAAAAGCTGTTGCTGCTATCGATGCATTACATACTGCTATTATTAGTCTTTTTATATAAATATAAATA